ATGATATGAGTTTAGCTGACTTTTCCATTGAATTTCACATAGCCTTGCTTTCCCAAAAGTTCTTCTCATCTAGGCTGAGGTGGACTACAGTTTCGACCTCGCATTGGTCTTATCAACACCAATGCGACCTTCGAATCTCTTCACCAAACAATTTCACTCGAAATGCAACTAAGCTCAACAAGATGAATCAATCTTCATTTTCTGGTTAAATCCACCTTCAAATATCTTCATCACTCGAAATGCTAATGAACCTAGCAATTAGTAAGTCATGAGATTCCTTGCAAAACGACCGGTTTTGCCAGAATTAATTTTGATCTTACCTTTAAACCTCAGAAACAAGGCCGCGAAGGCGTTGGCGAGTCAGGCTGGGTGATCCAGTGCCAACTGAGAATTTATCTTTGGCTTGGCATGATCAAGGACTTTCGCACCTACAAAAGCGGCCTCCCCGAGGGCTTTGATGTCGATTGCTTCAAGAAGAATCGGCCGCCCGATGAACTCCTCTACAGAGGTGAGCGAGGTCCAATCTCACTTGTCAAGTCAGCTGGTACCGAATTTAATTTTAGTCTATATTTAGTCTTATTTTTCGTTTCACCTTAAGAATATTCAACGTGTTTAGGCTTCTATTTTATCAGAATTACCCATCAAACTTCTTAATCTAGTCTTTTATTTGTTTTCTTCGTTGCACTGAACATTCAAATTAGGAGCTTCATTTTGTATTTTGTCCATTTTCTTCTCGTAGCTCAAACTTGCTCGACGTCATTCTCTTCGTTTTCACAGCTTCATCCACAGCCTATTCAAAATAGTAAAATGGTAGATATAAAGACCAAGATGGTGCGGTTTTCTGTTTATTCGCGGTTTCCTTTAGCTTTATAGTTTTGGTTTAACCTCGTTTTCGCAACTTGATCAGCACCTCATGGAGACCTTGTGGAATGTACCTAGTCCTGACTTTCATAAGTTGTAACTCTGCACTGATGCCGGCAAAGCGTTTGTAAATGTTCCAAGTCAATGTTCCGATGCTGTGGCAGAGGACACAGGACTAGGTACGTTCCACAAGGTCTCCCTGACACTCTGACTAAGTTGCTAAGACGAGATCAAACGAACAAAATGGAAAAAGTCAAAGTTCAGTTTTAATTCAAGAC